CATGTATGTCTACAAATCAATGAACAGTGTAGCCCCCCCCCCCCCATCTCTCTGATTTGCTACAGCCGTATGTCCCTCCACGTTCCCTGAGGTCAGCGGACCAGTTGCTCCTCACAGTTCCAGGAACTCATCTTAAGCGCAGAGGTGACAGGGCCTTCTCTGTAGCAGGACCAAGACTCTGGAACGAGTTACCTCTGCTTGTCAGACTGGCCCCCTCCCTCTCGGTTTTCAAGTCCCGTTTAAAAAATCACTACTATCCAGTAGCTTTCAACACAAGATGATCTGTGTTTTGATCCTGTATGCTCCACACTGGTTTGTCGTCATTATCTGCATCGTTTTTTGTCTATTTTCTGATTTACCTCATTTTGTATTTTGCTTTGTGTGTTACCTGTTGTTCTCTCTGTACAGCACTTTGGTTGGCCTTGTTGCTGTTTTAAGTGCTTTATAAATAAAGTGGTATGGTATGGTATGGTACCATAAGATAATTAAATAAAGTAATTGATCTAGATTTTAAACAATTTATGGAAAACCAAATTGAACTTGAGGAGTTGGATAAGGCTATTTTGAAGATGTCTCCTGGCTTGGACGGGCTAACAACTGAATTTTATAGATTCTTTTGGAAAGAGATTAGAGAGATGCTTTATAAAGCTTTCTTGGACTGTATCTCATCAGGTAACCTCTCTAATACTATGAAACAAGGGATAATCACCTTAATTCCAAAACGTAATAAAGATGTGCAAATGCTGGATAACTGGAGACCCATCACTCTGCTATGCACAGATTATAAAATTTTAGCTCATGTTTATGCTGATCGGCTGAATAGAGGACTTAAAGATATAATTGATGAAAGTCAATCAGCCTGTGTTAAAGAGAGAAATATACACAATCATATTAGACTGGTCCTTGATATGTTGGATTATTGTGACTGACTTGATAATGATAGTCTCATCCTGTTTCTTGATTTTTACAAGGCATTCGACACAATTGAACACGCCTTTTTGTTAGAGACTTTAAGGTTTTTGGGTTTTGGTGATTCATTTTGTGGATTAATTAGGATGTTTTATAATGATATATATAGCTCAGTCTCTTTAAATCCAGGACGTACTTCTAGATTTAAGATCCAGCGAGGCATTCGTCAGGGTTGTCCTATCTCCCCAAAACTATTTATCTTGACTACTCAGTTACTAGCTCTTCAAATTAATAGCAATCCTGAGTTAAAGGGAATTAATGTTTTTGATAGAGAATACAAGATTAGTCAATTTGCCGATGACACAGCATTGTTTTAAAAAAATGATTTAATGGTTGAAAGAGCCCTTAATACAATTTCATTATTCTCTAAGGCTTCAGGTCTTGGACTTAACATTAACAAATGTGAGATCCTTCCCATTCATAACTGTATTCATCAAAACATCCAGTCAATCAGAGTCGTACATGAAGTTAAATATTTGGGTGTACTAGTATCTAAGAACGCAGTTAGAAGGGAAGATGAGAACATCTCAAACCGCTTAGTGGGTATGAAACAAAGTCTCAGCCGTTGGTTGACAAGAGATCTGACTATTTTTGGAAGGAACCTGTTGACTAAAGCAGACGGCATTTCCAAGGCTGTTTATCCACGTCATTCTATGTATAGATCACCACAAAACATAAGAAAAGCCAACTCCATTATCTTTCAGTTTTTGTGGAAAAATAAGACTCATTATGTTAAAAGGTCCCAACTAGTTAAAAAACATGAGCATGGTGGTTTTAATGCACCAGACTTTGAAGCAATGGTTGGAACATTTAGGACTAAATGGTTAAAAATTTTTTTACAACAACAAAATTCAATGTGGTTTCATATCCCTGCCTCCATTTTTAAACAGCTGGGAGGAATTGACTTCCTTGCAAGGTGTGACTTCGAAGTGACGAAGATTCCAGTTAAATTATCAAACTTCCACAAACAAGTTCTTCAGTTCTGGAAAATGATATTTCACCATAACTTCTCACCTCATGGATCAACTTTGTGGAATAATAGAGCAATCACAGTGGGCAGAAAGTCAATATTTAGAAAAGACTGGTATGAAAAAGGCATCATTTTTGTAACAGACATCTTGGATTGTAATGGAGATCTTTTAAATTTCTCATCTTGTGTTAGAAAATATAACCTTAGCTGCTGCCATAAAGATTTTATGAAGGTATGTAAAGCAATCCCATTAGCCTTGATTCAGTTAATTAAAAATATCATTATGTATTCAAAGGTGACCGTTTCGATGCCCACATTAAAACTAAATGACTGTAGTTTAGTTGATCTCAAATGTAATAACAAGATGATCAATGAATGCATGCGACAAACGATTTACTATGATTACAACAAAGATTCATTCAAGAAACCTCCCAACATAAATCATAAAACCATATAGACTTCTGCTCATTCAAAATTTGTCAAATGGCCTAAACATCCTAAAGTGAAAGAAAACCGTTTTAAAATAATAATTAAGATCTATCCAGTAGCCATGCTTCTGCACACAAGATTTAAATTTGAGGTTGATGTGTGTGTCTTCTGTAAGTCACAAGATGAATCCCTGGAACATTTGTTTTATTCATGTCACAAAGTTTCTGGACTGACATTACAAACTGGATTAATTTAAAACTTAACATGCCTCCCTTTGATGCTGATGCCATTTTATTTTATATGGATAATTTAAGCTCAGCTTACTCCGATGCTATAAATATAGTTATCCTTATAGCAAAGTACCACATTCATTGTAGTAAGTGGAGGGATAATAAGTCCACCTTCCTGTTTTATGAACAAATTCAAGTCGTACTATTCTTCAATAAGTAGATTAAAAAACTGTAAAACTGCTAGAACCATTTCACAACACATATCAAAAAACTTGTTTTAATTTTCTCATATTGCTCCTTTTTGTTTCTTTTTTTTCTTTTAATGTTTTTTTTATATACGTATTTCTCAATTTGTGTCATTTTGTAACACCCCCCGCCCCCATGACACCCTTCACGAGTGTTTGTATATATATTTCTATGTTGTAGTGTTTTGTAGTTCTGTGTTATTAATAATAATATTAATAATAATCAAAAGGTATCTGCTCCAGATGTTGAACGAACAGACTGAGAACTCATCATGCATCTGTAGATGAGCTTCACAGAGATGATCTCTGTGCTGTTCTTTGTTGTGTTACTGACTGTGAAACCCCTCGGTGATCTTTACAGGGCTCTGGGATCATAAAGATTCTTGGACTTGAGATGACGTCACTTTGAAGGTTCAGTGTTTTGTCTCCATACTTGCAGCGCAGCCAGGGCGGCCTGCTCCTCCAACATGTCCAGGTTTCTCTGCACGTGTCTCAGGGCGTCGAGGCGGGACAGAGGGACACGAGGCTCCGGGTTCACAATCACGGTGTGCTCGTACACGGCGGCGACGTACGAGTCCACGCCAGACTCCAGCTGACCGAGACGAATGCACGCGAAAATGAGCAGGAATGGTCGCATGCTGTCCGTGGATCGTGCTGTGCATTTAAACACCTAAAGGTTCAGGAGTCCTCCCCTGGCTGAAAGCAATGGTAAATGGTAAATGGAGCTTACTTCTATAGCGCCTTCCAGCCCCCTATGAGGGGCCCCAAGGCGCTTTACAGTACCAGCCATCCACCCATTCACACGCACATTCATACACCGGTGGCGGTAGGCTGCCATGCAAGGCGCCATCCAGTCCCACCGGGAGCAACTCGGGGTTAAGTGTCTTGCCCAGGGACACAACGGCACATGGTGTGGGAAGTCGGGATTCGAACCTCCAACCTTCCGATCAGAAGTCGGCTGCCACTACCACTGCACCACGGCCGCCCACAAAAAACGGAGTCAGCAAAGCTGACTCCGTTTTTTTAATAGGTGATAAGAAGAAGCTCTGCTTGCGAAACTGTAGATTCAGAAACAGAGTGCAGTGTGATTTTTTTTTTTTTTTTTTGGCATTACAAAGCGCAAAACCAACTACCTTTATTTTGAAAAGATTGCGAGCGGAAACTTAAAATACGTTACCCGGAAGTACTTTCTTAAATCGACCTTCACCCTGTTTACATGCTGTTTACGCTCAGTACGAGCATACAAACCTGTTTCCCCCCTCTCTCTCTCAGTAAGAAGGTTTAGTAAGTTTTCATCAGGGCATGCATCAGGATATTTAGTAAGTTTGGCTACATTTTTATTTGAACTTTGCTGACTTTATGCACAGGCTTTAACAAATACTCATTTGTTGTTCGTTTCTGTTAGCCGTTAGCACACGCGCTGTTTTTGCCATGTCGGCAGCGCCAGAGTCCGACCAGTCAAAATTCACGAAGAAGGTCAAGAGTTGCTGGAGCTGCCGAGTCCTCTCCGGTGGTGGGTTGATCGTGGCCGGAGCCTACGTGCTCTTTCATACCCGGAAGTTAGCGCAACGAGTCGGTCCTACCATGGGGGCAGTGGCGCAGCTTACATTCGCAGTCGGTGAGTAGATAAAAACAAAACCCACTCGTTTTGATGTTCTGAGTGTTTCTCGTCGACTTGTACAATAACAGTTCCACAACTGTGACTCCGTCAGGTGTGGCTACTTGGGGACTTGTTATCCTCACCGACCCGACGGGACAATCTAATAGGAAGACATGAAGACCTGCACACTTTAGTGAGGAAAACATGTAGACCGCTCCTGTTGCAGCTCCACCTGGCTGCACCACTGAAGACTGGAAACTAAAAGTTTGCCATCACTAAAATGCTTCTTGTCTCGCTGACATGAGTTGTTGCTTAACATTTAAACTGCATGTGATTATTTTTAAGCCAGAAAAGTGGTATGGCAATGTATAGAAGAACCACGTGGTTTTTATCACTGTACTGCACAATGATTATTAAAAAAACAAGACACTGAACTCTGGGTCATTTAGTCAAGAGTTACATTTTTATTAGTGTTATATTGATCTGAGCACAGCTGCTCACAAGGAAAAGTTTAAGCATGATGCCAAGAAAAAAAAACTAGTCTTTTTCTGGTCATATGACATCTTGATTGACTTGTTCTGGGTAAAGAAAAATATGAAAATAGAGTTGAAAGTACATTTAGGCACACTATTAACACAATGTACACAGATATGCACACATTTCCTGTATCAGATTCATATATATGTATATATACTGAGGTTAAAAAAGCTTTCTGCATGGAGGATTGCAGGAAGTTAAAGGTGGCATCTCCATCACGGGAACAATAGTTTCACCTCCTAGAAAGAGACGTGCCAGTTCACGTCTTCCAGCTCAGCCAATCAGAGTCCACCAGGGCTGCTCAGTGCATTTGAACCACAGCAGTCGAAGGCCAGAGACTGAAACAAGCGTCCAGCCAGAACTCCCTGTTGCTACAGTAAGTGCTAATTTGCAAGGAATCCATAGATTTATGTTTAAGAAATTTGAAGGGGCACAGTTTGGGTTGGAGGGTCTCTGTCAGCTTTTTAAACTTTTTTTTTTTGCACTGAACACAACAGTCTTGAATGGATAAAACTCCACTTATGAGTAAAAAAATCTTGAGTTGTGACAGAAAAAAAAAAATCCAAATTACTGCATAATCAATAACAAATCCTGAAAGTGAGCATGCGTGTGCAAAAACAAAAACAACAGACTTATAAAACAAGTCTATAAAGTAACTTTTGCAACAACGGAATGTAAAGTTGTTGTTGGGATAGAAAGACTTCTGGGTGGACACCTATCATGGTTTTTCCTTCTTTGAAAAATTGCTATTATCAATAAACAAAACACACATGCATAAAGAAATAGAATATATTGCACCAAATCAAACGTGATTAGGGATAAAAACGTGTCTTGATTTCCTGGTTCAAACCTTGAAGGAGAGCTCCCTCTAAGTGTGCGTCTCTTGGTCAGTACACACTAAATAGATTTAAGGCTCACGCTGGCAGTGTCTCACTGAAGACTTGAACATCTTCATGCTAAAAACACGTACACCCCACCCCCGTTTGCAACATACTCCTACTAGAGCTCAATGCAGAGCAGACCAGAGTACATTCACTGTGCCTCCCACTGCAGCACTGCTTAGAGTCTCCACAGCCTCATTTAGCTCATTACGTGTCTCCGCTGTCACGTTTAAAGTATCTTAGCGCTGCACGAGTACACAGACAAATGAACAGCTTGAGCTTTGGTTGTCACAGGTCAGGGCAGTAGAATTAAAGAGGGTGTGGTCTGCTAGTTGGAGGAGGAAACAGGAAAGAGCTGAGAGCAAAACTAAAACCTTTCATCCCACATGTTTTTCAGTCACATTCTGAGGCCTCTTTAACCCGGTGCTTTTCATATTGTGTGGTTGCTGTGAGTGCCTGTGCATCTTACATGTTTACAGCATGAGCTGAGGGCAGCTGTATGGCTCGGAGATGGAGGACTGAAGCGGTAAGGCAAGGTGTGGGATTATACCGAGTCCTGCAGTTTAAAAACAGTAAGAGCTTTTGTCGTCTGCTCTCAGTCTGGACCACGAAAAAGCAGCATTGGCTGGATAAAGATAAAGCTCAAAACAACAACAAAATCCAAAAAGAAAGGGGGGGGGGGGGGGGGTAATACAGAAAGTAAAAGAAAAGACTGCCATGTTCAGTCTTGGTGCAAATTATAGGGTTTGTGTTAGTCTGTCACAGAGCGAGTGCGGCTGCTCGTCCTTCGGCTCGCTCTTGGTGGAAATGATCGTCTGAAGTGTTTCCACTGACAGAAGTGTGTGAAAGGAGAGTGGGCAGCAGTCACACACACCTCAATGTTCACATCAACCCCCAACACTTCCACTTTTAGCTCTCAAGTCTCTGCGTGTCCAGTCGGCCCGTGTCCTGATGCCGCTGTCCTTTCCTGTCACCTCTTGAGTGAGGAGCCTTTGAGTTTCTGACTGAACTTGTGGATTCGAGGTGAACGGGAGTGCAGCTTGACAAAGAGCTCAGGGAATTTGTACTGAGGGAACATGGTCTCCAAGAAGCCCTCCAAGAACACGTAGACGAGTCGTCGGTTCATGGGTTGGTACTGAAACATGTCAAAGACTCGCAGGATGCCCTTTCTTGTGGTATCTGCTCCAATGATGTGTTTCAGCTCATCTGAAGTAGAAAAAACAAAGATCATCAGTAGGTTTGAAAATCTCTTAAGGTGGCGGGAAGAATAATTAGTACAAGAACAGTATGCAGCACCTTCAGCAACGTTCAGGTGCTGGTCCTAAAATTAGAATATCATGAAAAAGTTCATTTATTTCAGTAATTCCATTCAAAAAATGAAACTTGTAAATTATATTCATTCGTTACACACAGACTGATATATTTCAAATGTTTATTTATGTTAAGGTTGATGTTTATAACTGACAACTAATGAAAACCCCAAATTCAGTATGTCAGAAAATTAGAATATTGTGAAAAGGTTCAATATTGAAGATACCTGGTGCCACACACTAATCAGCTATTTAAGTCAAAACACTTGCAAAGGCCTTTAAATGGTCTTAGTCTAGTTCTGTAGCTACACAATCATGGGGAAGACTGCTGACTTGACAGTTGTCCAAAAGACGACCATTGACACCTTGCACAAGGAGGACAAGACACAAAAAGTCATGTGGGGGAGATTCATAAAGAGTGGACTGCAGCTGGAGTCAGTGCTTCAAGAACCACCACGCACAGACCTATGCAAGACAAGGGGTTCAGCTGTCGCATTCCTGGTGTCAAGGCATTCTTGAACAAAAGACAGCATCAGAAGCACCTGGGACTGTTGCTGAGTGGTCCAAAGTTCTGTTCTTTGATGAAAGTAAATTTTGCATTTCCTTTGGAAATCAAGGTCCCAGAGTCTGGAGGAAGAGATGAGAGACACAGAATCCATGTTGCTTGAGGTCCAGGGTCAAGTTTCCACAGTCAGTGATGGTTTGGGGTGCCATGTCATCTGCTGGTGTTGGTCCACTGTGTTTTCTGAGGTCCAAGGTCAACACAGTCGTCTACCAGGAAGTTTAAGAGCACGTCATGCTTCTTGCTGCTGACCAACTTTATGGAGATGCAGGTTTCATTTTCCAACAGGACTTGGCACCTGCACATGGTGCCAAAGTTACCAGTACCTGTTTAAGGACCATGTTCTTGGCCAGCAAACTCACCTGACATTAACCCCATAGAAAATCTATGGAGTATTGTGAAGAGAAAGATGTGATACACCAGACCCAACAATTCAGAAGAGCTGAAGGCCACGATCAGAGCAACCTGGGCTCAGAACACCTGAGCAGTGACACAGACTGATCCACTCCATGCCACGCTGCATTGCTGCAGTAATCCAGGCAAAAGGAGCAACAACTAAGTACTGATGCTGTACATGTTCACACTTTTCATGTTCATACTTTTCATGTCCACACTTTTCATGTCCACACTTTTCATGTTCACACTTTTCATGTCCACACTTTTCATGTTCACACTTTTCATGTCCATACTTTTCATGTCCACACTTTTCATGTTCACACTTTTCATGTCCACACTTTTCATGTCCACACTTTTCATGTTCACACTTTTCATGTCCACACTTTTCATGTCCACACTTTTCATGTCCACACTTTTCATGTCCATACTTTTCATGTTCACACTTTTCATGTTCACACTTTTCATGTCCATACTTTTCATGTTCACACTTTTCATGTTCATACTTTTCAGTTGGTCAACATTTCTAAAAATCCTTTTTTTTATTTGGTCTTAAGTAATATTCTAATTTTCTGAGATACTGAATTTGGGGTTTTCATTAGTTGTCAGTTTTAATCATCAACATTAAAATAAATAAACATTTGAAATATATCAGTCTGTGTGTAATGAATGAATATAATATAAAGTTTCACTTTTTGAATGGAATTACTGAAATAAATCAACTTTTTCATATTCTGATTTTAGGACCAGCACCTGTAAATATGACATGAAGGGTTTTTATTTTGTCCATTCCTGATAAAACAGGCTGTACACATCTGTCATTGGTAGGGCTGAGTACCGAACCGAGGTTCTTTTATGGCACCGACCGAACTGCACCGGTCGGTGTATGTATTGAAACATCACTTTTCTTTCGGTGTCAAGTTTCGGTATTGGCTGTAACGTGTCACGTGGTTTCAGCATGCAGGCTGGTAAAACACCAGACATATGACAAACAGACTACACCCAGATTACATCCAGAGCTGTATAGAGCTGCTGTACCTAATCTATGTATACTGTAATGTATGTCTATGGTGCTTGTGACGCCCACAGACGGGTTCACGTGCGCTGCGCGTGTTGTCTAACGGCTTCGACAACACGCGCTGCAGAAAGTTGCTCCGTGGTTTTCTGCGAGGAGAGAGGAGTTCAGCAGCCTCCCCCCTCCTCCTCTCAGCATTAAAGTCAGCCTGTGAGAGCCTGAACGTCCCGATTTATTATCTCCACGACCGGACTCTTCATCAAAGAACTCCGAGGACGTCTCTGTGTGCTTCAGCTGGTGAGTTGACGTTTGTTAGCGTAACTGCAGCTTAACACGTACATCGCGGTGAAATAAATTATGATCCATGTAACGCTAACTTTAAGATATTAGTGTGTAAATTTATTTTATCTACGTAGCTTGCTAAACTCGGAAACTAACTAAAGATTGACAGTAACATAAATCTTAGCTTGTAAAACTGCTCATCCATCCAGTCAGCTGCTTAAACAGTTCACTAATGTTCACTGTTTATGTTCATGTTCTCCTCACAGGAGGTTCTGACCCTGATGTGAGGAGGACAAAAGAAAAGTGAGGTGGAGGCCACAGGACAGTCAGACTTTGTTGTTAAAAGTTTGCTGCTTTTTCTACAGTGGAGCTGCATGTTGGAGGTAAATTAAACTTTAAAGGATTTTGTTGACCAGTTAAACCTTTATCTCTCAGCCTAGAGGATGTTTTTTGAGCAATAATAACACAACCATGTTATTGTTGATATTTTGTTCTCGTGTCATTTAGGGAGATGATCAGAGCCCTAAACCCCAGAGAACCACAGAGAAGATTCAGGCAGAGACACAGAGGTACAGATGTCTGCATCAACCCTAACCTCAGTGAATCCAGTGACCTGCTGGTGGAATGTGAGGGACAATATGTCAGTGCTATCAAACTGACAACCAGGTATCTGTGTGTGCAACAAGCATCATCTACAGCCTCAGAGTGAACATGTTCTACTGCTGGAGACACCATCAGCCAGGAGCGGGCTTGTTTGTGTCCAGAGAAAACAGACATGATGTTTCTGAAAAAAAAAAACTGTTCAGTGAAAAGGTCCTCAGTGTGTAGCAGTGAACATTAGACACTGACGTGTCACTGGTTTGAAACAGTTGTTCTGACCTGGACCAACGCAGACATGTTCCTGTTTTTAGTTTTCTACATTCGCCTTAGAATCTAGCTGTTTTTTTGTTACCTTTTTCTTTTAGCCATCCTATTTGTAAAAAAAAACAACAACAAAAAAAAAACTGCAGTATGACTTTTTATAATTGTTTATTGTTGCTGTTGTCCATTGTTGTCATCTTTCTTTGTTGAAATCAGGTCTCTCTTGTAAATGAGTCCTCGAGGCTCAATGGGATTAACCTGTCTAAATAAAGGTTGAACGAATTTGTTTATTTTTATGTAAGAAAACTGCTTGGAATAGAAAAATACCAAAGTAAAAAAATAAAACTCACAATTTGTACTGTAATGTGTAACGTAATTTTATTCTTGTTAGAATTAATAGTAATTACAAAATTGGTACCGAAAAAAGAACCGTCCAGGAATCGACACCGGTACCGATACCGATTTTTTTTTAGAAAGGTACCCAGCCCTAGTCATTGGTAGAAGCAAAGATGGAGGAAAAGTCAGTGAGAAAAGTAGAGAAATTTAAATTGTTTAAGTTTAGTTTATAAGTGGAACATTTTAGTTTTCCTAAAGAAAAAAGATTATGTGTGAAAACACACACACACACACACCTACCTGTCTATAAACCACAGTTGTATAAAATGCGTATATTTTTACCTGGCATGATGCCCAACAGACTCGTCTTGGCAGCGACTCGTGTCCTCATGCGGATGCACTTGTCCCGTCGTGGTGGAGTCTCAGCTAAAATACCATTAGGCCAGTAAGAATCCCTGAACAGGAATAAAAATGGTTACTCAAGATTCCTCAGACTATTTAGCAAACACAACAGGGGCCCAGTTACCTGAACTTCTTCACGTAGTCTGCCACCTGCTCAGGTGACGTCAAGTAGTCCACATGATCCACAATTTTTCTTCAGAAACAAAAGAAATAGGATTAAAGTGGTGCTCTTTGTGAAGCTGATCATTTAGAAGTGTGAGCGCGTCGTGAGCCTCGGACCTGTTGATCGTGTCTCCATAAGTAGCTCTGATGAGTTGCTGCAGCAGGTTCTTAATGTTCCTGCGCAGCCACTGGTTCTTCTCCTTCAGATCGAACACCTCGTCCATCAGCAGCAGCATCACCCGCAGAGGGATGTTATCATCCACCTGGACACATGAGAGTTAAAAACAACAACCAAAGAGAAGAAATAAACCTTAAAGAGGAGAGCTGCAGACTCACGTTGTCATCGAGCTGGGCTGACACTCGACAGTGCTCTGGGTCGATGTCAGACTTAGGAAGGAGAGGAGGCACCTGGAACAATACAAATCACTACAGCTGTCAAACTTAATGACATTTATTAATATAAAACATCAGATTTGATTGATTTTTATTCAACCAGATGAGAAAAGTGTAGAGCAACCGTTTAGACAAGGGAACAAGCCTTGAGCACACCTTGAGTATGGACTGTTTGATGTCCTGGCCCAGTCTTTCTGACATGCGGCCCACGTTGTTCATCCCCTCAGCCAGACTGTCCGGCAGGGCTTTCACTGCGTTGGACACGTTCCTCATGGAGCTCCGCAGAGGGTTCACAAACGTGTCTATCTGAAGGCGAAAACAGACAAAATCCACGTTTAAAGATCTTTGATCAGATGTTTAAATCTGCACACTAGATTATTACGGTAAATGCTTTTAGTTTTTTTAATTTAATTTAAATAAAATTAGAGACCTTTCGTGCAAACTCTCCTTTGCCTTTGCTGTAGGCCTTGTTCTCCAGGAAGTCATAGACATGTGGAATCAGACTTGGGCAGCCCTTCACCATTTCTGGGTTTAGCAGCAGCTACAAAAGACGCACGTTAAGTTTGTGACACACGACGACACAAAGCTAACAACTGATGCATACGGACGTAAAGCTTGTACCTGAAGGTAAGCATTGAGGTCCTTTTTTCTCTTCTCCAGGAACTCTCTGTCCATATTGTTGAAGGTTTTCTTCCCTGGCAGCTTGAGGATCGATGACAAGCTCTCAAACTACAACAGAACATATGCAGCAGGTTCATAAGAAGAAAAACGCGCGAGCTACTGATTACTTTTGATGTAAATGATTTAAATCACCTGCTCCGTGATTCTCATGTGGAAGTCGTGGAAGTCTGAGTAGCGTCTGTAGGTCTTCCAGCAGTCCTCGCTGCCGTCTTGGCTCCGTCTGAGCACGGTGATGGTATAAAGTGCGTAGGTCTTACCATGATCGTTGCAGACCCCTGTGGCACCCCAGAAGCCGGGAAGACAAGCATCAGCTACACCGTCCCGCAATACATCCCAAAAGTGGGGTGGGGTTGAGGATGGGTTGATGAAAGGCAAAAAAAAAAGGCAAAGGGAAGAAGTGTTGCAGGAGGAAAGTGTTGGACAGAAAAACACATGAAAGAAAGAATAAGGAGCAGAACGGGTGGAAAAAGAGTGATAAGACGACAGGAAAAAGTGAAGGGAAAAAGTGGGAGAACAAAAAACGATGAAGTAATGAAAGAAATGAATATTGGTGAGACAAACATGCAGATGTGTGGAGCGAGGTGAGAAGATCGAACATGCAGGGAAGGACTGGAAGAGCTTAAAGATCAAAATAAATTAGACACAATCACAAACAATTCAACATAAAGTGTTACACAAACCAAATGCACACTGTCTGAAGATATACACAAGCTGTTATTTACTCTTCAAACATTTAATCCTGGTCATCTAAAATGATTTGTGACAGACGTGTTTTTAAACAAGCACACCTTCAAGCTGAGCAACGTGTACCTGTGTCAGAGATGTAGGCGTGTAGCTGAGTAAATTCATCATGGCAGACATTGGTCAGGTCGTCCAGAGACTGAAATCGTTTTTTTAAAAAGGGAAAAATCTCAGCGCCAAGTGACACTAACAGCACAGCTATAAGTCATTAAACAGGTCTGTGTTTACCAGTACCCACCAGGTTGAGGCTTCCTGTTGGAGAGCCGTTGAAGGACTCTCCATCCCCGTCGTCTGATCCTCGGTAGCTCGGCTCCTTCAGCATGTCCAGCTCTGCGAGCATGCGGACGTAGAGAGGACTCTGCTTGAAGGATGGGTAGAAGCGCTCGTCGCGCAGCATCATTTCATACACCTGTGGAACAATCCACGACTTGTAACAAAAATTATTTAGAAAGTTTGTCCATACAAAACGATTATATAATGTTTGAGCACCTTTCTCTGAATTTCATCAAATATCTCAGGTGTGGGGTCGTCTTTTTGTAGCTTCTCTCCCAGTTTTGTTACAAACGCCTGGTCCACCTGTACTCTGGGAGACGCCTGTTAGGTCAGTAGGTAACGACGTGAGGGAGAGAAAGAGGCTTTTTAAGAACTAAGCGCTTGTGGAATTATGATGCATTTAAAGACAAGTTAGAACAAGTAGTTTAACATACACAGACCTTTTCCAAAAAATTAGAATATCATGAAAAAGTTTTTTTTACTTTAATAATTCCATTCAAAAAGTTTATTTTTAATAGATGATAGATTCAGGGCCCATAATTTAAATGATTTCAAGTACTTATTTGTTTATTTTTACATAGTTTGGGCTTCCAGCTCATGAAACCCACGAAAAAAGGATTTTAAAAAATTTGAACACTGTGGAGAAATCAGCCCAAATGTTGCAGGGCACGAATGTTTTAAACGGAGTGTGACACTAATCCTCTACTAAACTCAAAGCACCTGCACAGGTTTCCCCAGGTGTCATTAAACTGCTTCCGTTTGGTTCAATTGTCTCAGTTCAGCTTCAGACACAGCTCTCAGAAAACTGGATGCAAATCAGTATCCGGCTTTGAGATTAATCTCAGGTGCAATGAAAACTACTTCAACTTCAGCTCTACAGGTAGAGACGGGAGAAATGCCACTAACATTAAGAAGGAGACAATTATCATTAAATTATTGGGCTAATCTAAAGGGACACAGTCAAAATCATCCTGCACAGGTAATTTTACAACAATGTTGGGAGACGGACAGAGCAGACAACAAATTCCATGTCTTGAAAATTATAGAGGAAACAAAGGAATTAGAAATACATAATTTAAAAATCAGTCCAACTGTGCCATTATCAATAATTCCACCGTGAATTATACCTGAGGCCAATGTAGACTTAACTTTGTTACACAGAAGGAAATTAGATAAAACATTCATATGTAACTCAACAATAGTACAAGAGTACATAGAGAAATATTATGATTATGTAAAAATGTATACAGATGCTTCCCAGAGTCCGTCAGGTGATACAGGAGTAGCAGTTATAATTCCAGATTTAAACTTAACATAGAGAAGAGAGTGAATGAAGGACTCTCTGTTTATACTGCAGAAATGGTTGCAATAATGTTAGCAGTGGAATGGGTAGAAGAAACAAGACCTTTAAGAGCCATCATCTGTTCTGATTCAAGCTCATCATTAATCAGTTTACAAAGAAGTCACTCGGAAAGTCGTCCAGATATTCAGCAAATATTATATCGGATTCAGATGATGGGGTTAATTCTTGTGTTTCTATGGGTACCAGCACATACAGGAGTGAAAGGAAATGAAATGGCAGACAAGAAGGCCAAAGACTCTGCAAAGGGAAAAGAAATTAATGTAAGAGTATCATTTAGTAAGTCAGAGACTAAAAGTATTATTAAAAGAAAAATGAGAGAAAAATGGCAGAAGCAGTGGGAAGAGGATGTAAAAGGAAGATGGCTCTATAGAATTCAAAGGAAGGTTGGAGAAAATAGAAGAGGTGTTGGAAGAAATAGATTACAGGAAAGAATAATAACTCGGCTACGGTTAGGTCATTCAGGACTTAATGCAACGCTACATATAATGGGGAAACATGACACAGGAAAGTGTGAGTTTTGTGGGGAAAGTGAAACTATAGAACATGTAATGTCTGTCTGTAGGAAATACCAGAAAGAAAGAACAGAAATGATAACGAGTCTTGCACGAGAAAAAGAACAGTATACTCTTTTACACTTATTAGGGAAAAAATATTTTGATGCAAGTCTTGATTATTTTTCGTTATCTAATAGTAACGGGGTTAATTAAAGAATATAGTTTTTTTTTTGCTTGCTAGTCCTGATTCACACTCCTTACTGGTGGCGGCAGTAATGCACCAAATGTTGTTTGCCAACCGCCATAAAAAACCAAGAAGAAGAAGAATTGTCTCAGTTCAGTTCAATATGGAGAAGACTGCAGACATAACAACTGGCCAGAAGACCATCATTGATACCCTCCATAGGATGGTAAAACACAAAAGTTCATAGCTAAGGAGGCTGGCTGTTCACAGAGTGCTGTGTCCAAGCATATCAAGTGGACGAGCAAAATGTGGCAGGAGAAGATGCACCAGCAAAAGAGATGACTGTGGGCTTCATCGGATTATCAAACAGAAGATTCCAGAATCTGGCAGAGATCCAGAAAGAGTGGAATGAGGCGGGAGTCACAGCTTCACAAACCACCACATTCAGACACATCCAGGAGATGGACTACAACTGTCGGGTTCCTCGGTCCTCTTTTCCAATGAAAGTAAAGTGTGCCTTTCATTCAGAACTCAGGGTCCAAGTGTTTGGAGGAAGAAGGGTGAGGAACAGAACCCATACTGCTTGAGGTCCAGTGTGAAATATCCACAGTCATGATTTGGGGTGCAATGTCCGGTGCAGGTGTTGGTAAACTCTGCTTTCTTAAATCCAGGGTCACCACAACCGTCTACCAGAATGTTTTAGAGAACTTGATGATTCCTTCTGCTGAGGATCTGTATGGAGATGCAGATTTCATCTTCCAGCAGGACCTGGCCCCTGCCCATGCCGCCAGAAGCACCTGGTTTGATGCCCATGCCACAGTGCTTGACTGGCCAGCCAACTTGTTGGACCTAAACCCCATTGAGAATCTATGAGGTGTTCTCAAGAGGAAAATGAGGGGCACCAGACCCAACAACAAAGAAGAGCTGACAGCAAGCATCAAGGAAATCTGGGCTTCCATAACTCCCAGTCAGTGCCACAGGCTGATTGACTCAATGCCACGTTGCATCGAGGCAGAGATTAAAGCAAAGGGATTCACAACCAAGTACTGAAGACTGACATATCGTTTTGAAAGTACCATATTTTGACTGATTTGTTGTGATCCTAATTTATTTCTTTTTTTCTGCAAAAACTGAGAAGTAGTGTGGGCTGATGTCTTCACAGTATTCTAATTTTTTTAAATCCTGTTTTCATAGGTTTCATGAGCTGGAAGCCCAAATTATGTAGAAATAAACAAATAAATACTAGAAATTGTTTAAATTGTGGGCCCTGAATCTATCATCAATTAAAGATCAACTTTTTGAATGGAATTATAGAAGTTAAACAACTTTTCCATGATGTTGTAATTTTTTGGAAAGAGTCTGTATATTGTTGTGTTTATCTTATTTTAAAACTATAGCATTAGTTTTGTGTGTCTCACAGTGGGAACACACTCAGTGTGACCTCATCAGAAGCTCTCATTAGCTTGAGCCAGCTGGGACTGTAAAATAGCCCGTCAGACTCGGGGATGACCGGGTCCCTCCCCCTTTATATAGGGCTTGAGGATGTTTCCAATGTGACACACTCACTCATGCTACTCGGAGAAACAAAAGTAACCTGAAGTTTTAGGATATTTGATGTGTGATGAGTTGCATGTTCCTCCCACCTTGTCTGAAAGATATTGTTCGTAAACACCCAAAGCAGCGGCCTTGAGGAGTCCCTTTGTGGTGCCGGGCTGCTGCTTCTCCTCCTTCTGCCAGCCCTCCATCACCATCAGCTGCTGCTGCGCCGTCACTCTGTACCCCTCAACAGTGAGCCAAAAGAAGAGCTCCGCCTGAGCTCCTGCAGCCTGCATGAAGTCTGCATCAGGAGGTAAACAAAAGTGGTCCAAACGGTGCTACACATACATCAGAACTGTGTCTTTAAAGTTGAACAGATCATTTTCAGCAGCTATAATGATCTCTTAACTAAAATAAACATTAGATTATAATTACCAAGGCCTCTACAGGTCCTTCTAAAAAAATTAGCATATTGTGATAAAGGTCATTATTTTCCATAATGTAATGATAAAAATGAAACTTTCATATATTTCAGATTCATTGCACACCAACTGAAATATTTCAGGTCTTTAATTGTTTCAATACTGATGATTATGACATACAGCTCATGAAAACCCAAAATGCCTGTCCCAACAAATTAGCACATCATGAAAAGTTTCTCTAAACAAGCTATTAACCTAACCATCTGAATCAACGACGTCACTCTAAACACCTGCAAAAGATTCCAGATGCTTTAAAAAACTCCCAGCCTTGTTCATTACTCAAAACCACAATCATGGGTAAGACTGCCGACCTGACTGCTGTCCAGAAGGCCATCATTGACACCCTCAAGCAAGAGGGTAAGACACAGAAAGAAATTGCTGAACGAATAGTCTGTTCCCAGAGTGCTGTGTCAAGGCACCTCAGTGGGAAGTCTGTGGGAAGGGAAAAGTGTGGCAGAAAACGCTGCACAACGAGAAGAGGTGACCGGACCCTGAGGAGGATTGTGGAGAAGGGCCGATCCCAGACCTTTGGGGACCTGTGGAAGCAGTGGACTGAGTCTGGAGTAGAAACATCCAGAGCCACCGTGCACAGGCGTGTGCAGGAAATGGGCTACAGGTGCCACATTCCCCAGGTCAAGCCACTTTTGAACCAGAAACAGCGGCAGAAGTGCCTGACCTGGGCTACAGAGAAGCAGCACTGGACTGTTGCTCAGTGGTCCAAAGTACTATTTTTGGATGAAAGCAAATTTTGCATGTCATTCGGAAATCAAGGTGCCAGAGTCTGGAGGAAGACTGGGGAGAAGGAAATGCCAAAATGCCAGAAGTCCAGTGTGAAGCACCCACAGTCAGTGATGGTCTGGGGTGCCATGTCAGCTGCTGGTGTTGGTCCACTGTGTTTTATCAAGGGCAGGGTCAATGCAGCTATCAGGAGATTTTGGAGCACTTCATGCTTCAATCTGCTGAAAAGCTTTATGGAGATGAAGATTTCATTTTTCAGCACGACCTGGCACCTGCTCACAGTGCCAAAACCACTGGTAAATGGTTTACTGACCATGGTATTACTGTGCTCAATTGTCCTGCCAACTCTCCTGACCTGAACCCCATAGAGAACCTGTGGGATATTGTGAAGAGAAAGTTGAGAGACGCAAGACCCAACACTCTGGATGAGCTTAAGGCCGCTATCGAAGCATCCTGGACCTCCATAACACCTCAGCAGTGCCACAGGCTGATTGCCTCCATGCCACGCCGCATTGAAGCAGTCATTCATGCAAAAGGATTCCAAGTATTGAGTGCATAACTGAACATGATATTTGAAGGTTGGTGTTTTTTGTATTAAAAACACTTGTCTTTCATTGGTGGGATGAAATATGCTAATTTTTTGGGACAGGCATTTTGGGTTTTCATGAGCTGTATGCCATAATCATCAGTATTAAAACAATTAAAGACCTGAAATATTTAAGTTGGTGTGCAATGAATCTGAAATATATGAAAGTTTCATTTTTATCATTACATTATGGAAAATAATGACCTTTATCACAATATGCTAATTTTTTGAGAAGGACCTGTATGAGCTTTTTATACAGTTTGTTGGTCAAGTCTTATGAAGTGATTTACATAATTTCCCACATTTCTTTTGATAATTAGAGAAGGATAAACATCACAGTAATACATGTGGCCACAGTTTTAAAATTATGGGATTGTTTTCACAACACATATAAAGTCTTACAGATTACAGGGCCATCAACCCCTCCCCCGTCTCCTCTGATGTTTCCTTCCTCAATGAGCTCAACAATTTCTATGCTCGTTTTGAGAGAGGGAACCCAACAACTACAACTAAGGCAGATGTGTCTCCAGACCACCAACCACTGACTCTTTTCCCCACCTATGTAGGAGCGGCGCTGAGCAGGATTAAAGTTCACAAGGCTGCGGGTCCTGATGGCATTCCTGGACGTGTTCTTAGAGCATGTTCTGGGGAGCTGGCAGGAGTACTGACGGACATATTCAACCTGTCCTTGGCCCGTGCTGTGGTACCAACCTGCTTCAAAACCACCTCCATCGTCCCAATACTCAAAACCATCAAGACTCAACGACTACCGTCCGGTAGCCCTCACCTCCATCATCGCAAAGTGTTTTGAGCAGCTGGTCCTAGTACACCTCAAATCCTGTCTCCCCCCCACCCTGGACCCCCACCAATTTGCATACCACCAGAACAGGAGCACAGAGGATGCAGTCTCCATAGCGCTGCACTCTGTTCTCTCACACTTGGACAACAAAAACACCTTTGCCCGGATGCTGTTCATAGATTTTAGTTCAGCATTCAGCACAGTCATCCCCTCAAAACTCATCACAAAACTCACAGACTTGGGCATCAGTTCCCTCATGGGCAACTGGTTACTGGACTTTCTGACCAACCGACCCCAACATGTCCGGCTGGATAACCACTGCTCATCTATCATCACTATTAACACCGGTGTACCACAAGGCTGTGTGATGAGTCCCTTCCTCTACTCCCTCTTCACCCATGACTGCAAACCTGTTGATGGTTCCAATACCATCATTAAGTTTGCAGATGACACCACGGTGATCGGCCTCATCAAAGACAACGATGAGACCGCTTATAGGGAGGAGGTGGTTCGTCTGGCTGAGTGGTGTGACAACAACAACCTGCTGCTCAACACCGAGAAGACTAAGGAGCTCATCGTGGACTTCAGGAGGAACGCTGGCCCACATCCACCCATCTACATCAAGGGGGCGGTGGTGGAACGTGTGAACAGCTTCAAGTTCCTGGGTGTCCACATCTCCGAGGATCTCACCTGGACGACCGGCTGTTCCAAACTGATCAAGAAAGCTCACCAGCGTCTTTTCTTTCTGAGGACTCTGAAGAAGAACCACCTGTCCTCAGACATCCTGGTGAACTTTTACCGCTGCACCATTGAGAGCATCCTGACTAACTGCATCACAGTCTGGTACGGGAGCTGCTCTGCCTCAGACCGGAAGGCGCTGCAGAGAGTGGTGAAAGCCGCCCAACACATCACCGGATCACCACTTCCTGCCATAAAGGACATCTACAGGAAGCGGTGTCTGAAAAGGGCTGGAAAAATCATAAAAGACTTCAGCCACCCAGCACACAGACTCTTCATCCTCCTGCCCTCTGGGAGGCGCTACAGGAGCCTCCGGACTAAAACCACCAGGTACCGGAACAACTTCTTCCCCACAGCTGTCACACTCCTGAACTCTGCCTCCTGACATCTGAATAACAACAACGGTCTGTATTCTCATACACACAACAACACATGGACTGTAACACCACCACCTGAACTTTCATCCGTTAGCCCACTACTGTACAAACTGTACACATAATCTACTATCTACTGTTCATAAGTACTCACATACTTATATATATATTTTTTTTTTCTTTTATATAGCTGTTTATACCCCTTCATATTATAACCTGTTCATAGTCTGTACACTCACAACCTGTATATATTTATACCTATAGCATATTCAAAGCAACTTACTGTATATTGTACTATATATATCTACCAATTTATTTTTCTTGCTAAGCACTTCTGGATAGATGCAAACTGCATTTCGTTGCTTTGTACCTGTGACATGTGCAATGACAATAAAGTTGAATTCTATTCTATTAATCTGATCTGGAAAGCAGATTACGTTTTGATCTTTGACAGGAGAGATTTAAGGAGATGACAAGCTGGAGTTACCAAGAGATTAGCGACATTATGGAAAACCAAGACGAGTAACAGAGATGTTATGGTTGAAATCTGCTGAGAACTAGTGAGTTTGGACATCTGTGGGATGAGTCATGGTGTGTTTACCCATGAAGAACTGCAGAGCGATGTTGTGCACCAGGATGTGATCCAGCGGGATAACACACAACTTGCCAAAGCTGGCTGCCAGCTTCAATGTATCGACCTCCTACACCAGAGAGAAACAAGGAAAACCTCAAAGTAACAAACTGAGTTTGAGATGATCCAGCTGCAGAAGGTGAATTACACACCATAATGAACTTTAGTCACGTCTAAAGAAAGTGATCAGAATAAACACCGTTTCTCACCTTTCCAGACTGTAGTCTTTGTATTCTGGTCTCACACACCTTCTTCACAAACATTAGACTGTTTATCTGGTTCTTGATCACATTAATGTCTAAAAGAGAAACAGAAAGACACTAACATTAAGAAAGCCGTTCATTTGCTTCACCAAGACTTATTTAGGTCTCAGTATGACAAAGTCATCTTGATTTGTTCATGTAGAAAAAAAGAAAGTGACAGCGCACCATCTCCAGCAGTATCCAGGGAGCGGAGGTACTGCAGCTCCTCCACCACCTTGTCTTTAACGGCCTCCAGCTCTGGAGGTTTGTCTGTTAACTTCAGGATGTTCATGAAGGCTTCGTAGTTACAACTGGAATCTCTAATCTAGACACAATTTACAACATACGGGATTTTATTTCCATTTATAAAGTGAATAAACTTGTTTGTGAGACTGTTAGTAGTTTGGATCTTCACCATCCAGATGACAAACTGGTTGATGTAGTCTGGATCACTCAGCTGGTTGATCAGAGGAAGGAGCACACCGTACGCCAGCACCTCCTACAAAAACAAGAGCATTTTTCAGACACAGTCAACAATTTACTTCAAATGTGTCACACACATGGTTCTAACTTTTCTCTTTGTACGTTTTACACCAGTTGCTTTATGAACTTACCCTTAGGAAGTATCTCATGCTCTTATTGTGGAAATCACCAGGAGGTAATAACAGATACAGAAGCAACTCGCACAAGTCTCGAAGAAAACCTGCAACACACACACACACACACACACACAGAGAGCAAATATTTAGAGTAACTAGTGTCAGCCTCAAAGGGCAGTACATCTGAGGTCACATTTATTGACTTCAGGACATTTAACATCGGTGCGTTTACCTTCTTCGTCTTTGTGTGAGGTGCAAACTATGTCTCGACAAATCTTCCTCTCCATCTCCACCTCCGCCTCAAAGAATGACTCAACCAGCTCCTCGGTTATGTCCCCTGTTGGGAAACCACTCATCACGCACTTGTAGCAAAACTCTTATCTTTACGTTTTAAGTTTGAAAATAACACCAAACTTACAATAAGCACTGAGTACCGTATTTTCCACCGTACACGTGGCACCGCCCTATAAGTCTCATCAGTGCAAATACGTCTAACAAAGTGGAAAAATCCATAAATACGTCGCTTCGCCGTATACGTCACATCTATTACGCATCACCACTGACAACCCAGAAATGTGGGCCGGTGTTGTGGCAAAAATTGATTGGCTGCCAAATGGTGGCCACGGGAGTGTGCACGGGAGGATTTTAACAAGAATTTAACAAGATTAACTCTTAAAAATGTAGATGAACAGATGCTGGGATATATTCATCATTTAACGCGAGTTCCTCATTTTTCTGGACTGAATAAAACGTGCATTGAATTTAAGGAAATGCAAACGTGAGACGTCATTTAAATTTGACCCATCAAAATGAATGCGGTCATTTATTTACAGAATCAAATTTAACATCAAACATTTACATTAATTTGGCAAATTATGAAAATAACAATATAAGCAATCAATCAGGAAAAATCATACGGCCATGATTTTTCCGTTGCTGACATTTATAAAACTGTACAACTATGATCTTTTACCCACACGAATGTGGGTAAGCACTTTACACAGACATTTCTAAATATCTGGGAGAATTTCTACTTGATAGAAAGTTTAAAGATGGAAAGAAGTTTAGAGGGAGTAAAGGAAGGGGTTTGAGGGAAATTGAATGGTCACCAGAACCGACACTCTCCATCAGAAGCCCAGCTCGCCTCGGTACGCTTGGTAGGAAACTTGACCCATTACCTCTCTGATGATAATCAGCAGATATGGTGTTCCGTTAACGCTACCGGTCCAGCGTCTCCTTCGAATGGCTGTAGCCCGTCAGAAGTAGTGGCGAGGCTCTGTTCGACACACATTCACCTCAGTGGAAAATGTTATAATCCCATGGAACTCGGAAGAGCTTCGTTGTCATGTCAGGAACTCCAACAGCACTCCATCAGAACTCCAGAACTCTAGAAGTCTGACAACTCTCCAACTCCGTGAACTCTGTAACTCCGTGAGTCGTAAGTCACTCTGTGAGTACCTGTGAGTCCCTCCGTGTCCCTGTGAGTCTGTGTAGACCAGGAAGTATTGACATTTTAAAGACTCTTTCCCGGTTCACTTTTTGGGATTTTTCATTGGTCAGAAACGACCAGAAGGGGTTTGTTTTTGTGACGTAAGGGGTTAGAGACAGCGAGAATTGTTATGGGACAGCTCAGAAATGTTCTCACAGACCGAGGGGGTTCTGTTTTGGCGTCTCTAAGAAACAGGTGCAAAACATCTCTATTTACGTCTGAGAGGATTCTAAAACATGACAGTTTTAACATAACAACTTGTTTTTCGTTTGACTGTAACCTTGTAAACGCACACACTTGCTCATTCAAAAGCAGAAATCAGAAAAATGCATAATTACTCTGTAACAGCTTTTAACATGAGAATAAAAATCATTACTCAGTTAATAAAATTGATTAGTTCACTGCAACATCTAAAATGGTTTGAACTAAGACACTTTGATTATCAACATTTGTAAGATAGTAATGATAATAAAAAGAGAGTGTTCTTTTCACTTGAATCTTCAAGAAAGAAAGTCTCAGGATGGGTGAACCTGTATCTATGTATTCAAATACATGAAATGACAGTTCCTGTCCCACAAGGTTCTAAAGGTCAAGAGTTTTGACCTTAGACTTAGTTTTGACGTAGGCCTAGTCCACTACAAAAACAATTATTTGTTTGCTTGAAATTATAGTAAAGGTGCGTCTCAGTTGAACTTTTCCTTAATAAATGTCCTTTGACGGTCAAATCAGCTGCATTTCAAAAGCCGACTCACGAAAGCGGGAGCGTGCAGAGGGACGACTCACTGTGCATTTCTTTGAAATTTAACAAGATAAACACCTAAACACAATTGTTTGCTCGACTTTATAGTAAAGGTGTGTCTCAGTTGAACTTTTACTTAATAAATGCACTTCAATGGTGAAATTAGCTGCATTGCACCGGGGCGGCGAAATGAAGCTGATTTGACGGTTGCTCCAGGCGTGATCCCAGAGCTGAACGAAGGTGGCTCCTACGGAAAGCCGATTGTGTCATTAATAGCTAATTTTACCTATTACATGATACAAAAGCATGCCATACTACTCGAGTGCCATCTAGCGGTTGAAAATGGTAGTGTTCAATATTTTCAGTCAGAATGAATGAAAACTATCTCAGCCAAAAATTGGTTTATAAATATGGGAAAAAACATAAATAAGTCGCTTCGGTGTAAAAGTTGCAGGGCATGTAAATTATGTAAAAAACTGTGACTTATAGGGTGGAAGATATGGTAATATTGTTTTATTTTAAAAAAATGAACTGAATTCATGCTGAAGGCATGTCAAACATTAAATGAAGAATGAACAAGTGTGCATACTTTGCTTGTCCTCTCTGTCAGCGAGGCGACCCTGGGCTTTTCTAAAGACACGTAAATGGGTGGCAAAGTCGTCCACCAGGCGAGTGGTGAAGTAAGGCTGCCAGTCCACCTCTTTGGACCTTCACACAGACACGATACAGTTAAGATTTAAAATATGTGCACTGTAAGAGACAGTAACTGTGCATGAACATGAGTCTTGTACCGTGTGGAGAACTGGATGAGGGCAGTCTGCAGCGTCTGTCTGATCTCCAGTAAAAAGGACTCATCTTCACTCAGAGTGTAGTACCAGTACTGGATGTAGTCTCTCAATGCAAACTGGATCACCTAAGTGCAAATATGGAAGGAGAAGAGATAATCAAACAGCTAAAAGCACGTCAACTCTACAACATTATCTTAAGAGGGATAAAACTTGAAGATACAAGCCATTTCCAGACATAAGCAGTTTGATGAAGTGAACTGAACACGCTGCAGAGTGAGAAAGCATTTTGTTCGAGTACATTCAAGAAAATATCACAAGCAGATAAAGACATCAGTGTTCTCAGAGAAAGTATGATATCTGTGAGATATGGAGGTTTACATGCAGCTGAAATGATAAGTTCCCAGGAAAACAGTGGAGGGGGGTGGGAGGGATCCTGAGTCACATGGGTGGACCAGTCAGGGTCATCTGACCAGCACAGTCTGCTGTGTTTGCACTTCACTGTGGCTGGCTACTGAGAACAACATGCATAAACATATTTTTTCTTCACTCTGAGTGTTTGAACAGCAGAAATTGTTGGAAAAAATACGCTGACTATAACACAAAAGCCACTAAGCTTGTATTAGTCATACAACCAGCACTTAGAATATTTATTCCCACACATGTTGAGCTGTGTTAACACTAAACTCTGAGAAAATATCCCAGCTCTGCACAATCTTTGCTTTTTGCTTCAGGCACGAGAGAGTTCTGGCACAGAAGGATGAAAAGATTTGCTTCAACTTTGTAATTAAATAAAATCACAGTTTAAAGACCTTGGTTTAACCAATATATTTGTTAAAAAGTTTAAAACATTTTCTTAAAGTAGCTAAATATTTTGGCTCATTGTGACGCCATATTGAAAAGGCAAAACTTGCGTTCACTTGGAGGTGGTTTTTATGTTCGAGTGTGAGGTAATAATTATATACAAGGATGAGATTAAATAAAGCAAGTGGAACGGTACAACCATCATGTTTCATGTCACACACAAGACTGTGGCTAAAACTTCTGCAATTTATTTTCCTGTGAGTGCTATAAAACTTTAATGTTTTAATAAATCACATTTTGCCTTGCATCCAGCTGCACCTCATTTTATAGTTCATCTTGAGCCTTCTCTATGGCCACTCTTCTGTTCAACTCAATAACGTTACACAGGGGAAGAGGAAAAGGAGGACACACCTGTTGTAGCGGTTCATCGATTATACTGGAACCAGTCAGTCTCCTGTCAATTTTTATAGGTTTTATCTCCAGTTTCATCTCGTCCAGTGTCTGAAAGAGTCAGAATACATCACAATCAAACAAAACAATGGTAAGAACAGTAACAATCAAATGCTCTCCTCTTCTTGTAATATGTGCCAAAATAATCTGATTAGTGATTGTTTTGTTTGTGCTTACCTTCACAATACCAATTTGTGTTGGTGCCAAGTACGAGTGCTCGCACTTTTCCAGGTGCTTCTCCGAGTTTATCTTTCCATAAAGCAAAGTGACCACAAAACCCCTGAAATACAAAAAGACATTGAAATAAACACGATTTATATCCATCCATCCATTATCTTTTACCCCCTTCTTCCATTTTGGGTCACAGGGGTCACCGGTGCCCGTGTCCAGCAATCACTGTGCGAGGGGCGGGGGACACCCTGGACAGGTCTCCAGTCCATCACAAGGACACATAGAGACAAACAAGACAAACAACCATTCACTCTCTCACTCACACCTAGGGACAATTCAGAGTTACCAATCAGACTAACATGCATGTTTTTGGTCTGTGGGAGGAAACCGGAGTACCCGGAGAAAACCCACGGAGAGAACATGCAAACTCCACCCAGAAAGGCCCCCGGACCAGGATTTGAACCAGGGACCTGCTCGCTGAGAGGCAGCAGCCATACCAGTTGTGCCACCGTGCTGCCATGGTTTTTATACATCTGGGCCACCCGGGGGAGCAGTTTGGGCGTTAAGGGCCTTGCTCAAGGGCCCAGAGTTGGTCAAATGAGGGTGGAGACAGGTGTGGGTGTTTCACCTTTCTCACCCACATTTTGATGATGCTGACACAGGGAGTTGAACCGGCAATCTTCCGATCACAGACCCACCTTCTCTAACCTCTGCGCCACCACTCCCCCTTTGATTTTTATATAGTGAAAGAAGAATTATTTATATTGAAATAACAGATACTCACCCGCCAATAAAGCAAAAAATATAAAAGGCCAGGTAGAATATGGCAAAAGGTCCGAAGGTGACGAGGAACAGCACAACTCCAAGGCCCCCCCATCCCCAGATGGACAGACTGGCCTGAAACACAGAAGAATAAAACCAAGTTATCAACATTATATGCTGCTTATTCTTGGAATAGCATCTAATGATAAACCACAATCCATATTAAATATTCATTATAACAAAAAAATGTTCATTTCTTTACAAATGTTTTTCTACCAGCGTGACTATAAGTTCTGTTTGTTTGAGCATGAGGCAAGTTAAGAAAAAACAAACAGTAGCATTGTTAGGTATAAACCAGAATATGTTTTGACACATCGATGATTCCTACGTTTACATCATTCAGTGCATCACCTGCAGAGCAGATTTATCATCATGCATTCTCTGAACCTCAAACGTAGGAAGTCAGAAATCTTTAGCAATTACTTGTCTTTGCTTGGCTACATCTAAAATAAATAAAAAATAAAAAAGAAGCAGATGAAGCCATGAGTGTGCAAGAAAACACTCAACTCATCGTGCGTTCAGTGTCTTCATGACATCACCCAGCAGGACAAACAGAGGTCTAAACTTTAGAGATGTTGGTACAGGAAAAGATTAAGATGACTCACACTGTGGTGTGTGAAACTGCTAGGGGGCGCTAGACAAAGAATGTGACGTGCATGTGTGTGTGTATGTGTCACACATCCTAAGGTTTATCCGGTTATTGTCACCACAGGAAAACAAGTTCTGAATTCAATAACCTTTTCCCACCTTTCCTTGAAAGCTTCTCTACTTTTTCCAGTTTTATACTTTCTAACAAAAAGTGACAACTAAAACACCAGAAAACTTTTATTTCATTACGCTGCAGAGTGCACACACGAACGCTGGAGGTTATTACGCATACGACGGATAACTCTGCTACACTGTTTAAACCAGGCTGTGCAATTTGAGTCAAATGTTGCAAAACTTGTGGCGTCGTGAGATGCTTTTGTAAAACAGATATTCAGTCAAGGCTGTTTCAGTTTCACCTGTTAAAGCTGCGGAGCCATTGCAGACGTGATAATCAGCGGTGATCATCTTCGGCTGCCCTACATTCACACCAGACCTGCTTTGATAAGAAGCTCCGAGCCAGAGTCGACGCAGCTTCCCCAGGACACTGACCCATTGTCCTCAACGCCACAGTCAGCTAGAGTCTGTCGGCCGACACATTACACAAGCAGCCAGCTATACAGATGACCCGTTCAGAACCACGGGCCAGTCACTTTACCTTGAGCCACTGCAGAACATACTTGTTACTAAAGCACTGTTCACGTATTTAAGAACATCTGCCATCTACACCATCAATATACGCAAAGTGTTGCTACTTACAATAAAACATGACAAAATGTCCGGCTAGTTTGGAGACCAGAGACAGAGATGTTCTTAAATATGTTTTCATTTCACTGAACGCCTTTTTCAGCCATTTTAAACAAGACAAAACGACACGCACAACTTTGTGCATTCCTGGTATCCATCAGAAAAATGCAAAACATGTAGACGATTTAATCCATGCAGGCGTTTTATTCTTTAGCTACTTTAGGTTCATTTAAACTGACCAGGACTCTGTAATGAAGATATACACATGCAAACAAGTTAGTCCAAATAAAACAAATCAAGATTCACAAATTCAGATAAAAAAAAAAAATGAAATCAACAAACAAGAAAATGCAGCTTAGAGTCAAAATTACTCCTGCATCTGTTCTAATGAACCCAAACAGGCTGTCGTGTTCTGAGCATGCTCATAGATCCATACTCTCAACCACTAGGAACACAGGAAACCAGTACCGAAAAAAGTTGACACAATTTTATCAGACTCATTTCTTAAAGATCAACGTTCATGCTCAATAATCAGGTAAAAAAATCCAGCTAAGTTAAGTCAGGTCCTCTGGACGGTTTATTTGTGTTGAAACGTTTTGTCTTTCATCCAAAGGACTTCATCAGTTCGAGGAGCCACAAACTGGTCAGTAAATCAATTCCTCTTGCATGCTTGAATACTGGGACCTGCAGCTGTTTAATTAAATGAGCTGCCATGTAACAAATGAACTCATTCAGTTGACTCAAGATTTTAAGGCTAGACTGAGAAAAACAAGAAATCAAAAACAAACTTCACATGGTTTCTGATCTTACACACGAGCTTTGAATGATGCTTCATCGCCTGCTACAACGTTCACAGCGCGCTGGCCAAAATGAAACCCTGACGCTGAAGGGTGTCAGTGAACGGCACCTGCTGACCCTGAGTTTACTCACAGCACACATGAGGAAATAAACAGATACAAAGTAAAGGCAAACAAATAATCTGTTGTAAAGCGAAGCTCGTTACAGCAGCAAACCATTTACAGAAATAATCACCTTTACAAGAAGTCTGCTGATGACAGCTGGTAATAAAATTCGGTTCAGATCATTCTGGTACATCTTAAACCATTTCAAACTGTGTCCACACTAGTCTGTATACTGTCCCCATGTGAACTCCGACTTGGCAAGACTTAGAGGAACACTGAGGGTCAAACATTCAGGCACATGGTGAGGACCATTATTATAGCTGAGCTAGGCAAGAATGCTGTTCAGAAAGTAATTTAAAGCTTGCACAAACACTGATCATCTTAATTTGAGTGCAGTGTTCCTAAATAAGCATATGAGCCAGCTGCAATGTATGATCACATACAACGTTTTCACCAGTTACACCATTTGTTCAAGCTTTTATCCACTCAGCACTCCTAAAATACTGTAATTCAATTTTGCGAGTGCTCAAGATGCTTAAACAGATCTATGTGATGATCACGTTACCATCAGCAATAAGACTCTGCACTAAACGCACAAAAACACAAGAGTAATGGTGTATTAGTGTTGCACAATATTGGGCATTTATATCAGGTGAGACCTTCAGGGATGTCCAAACATTTTCACACGTGGGCCACAAAAATGTGAATTTAACTCTCAATGTGAACATTTTGAAGAAAGGACAAGTTTACTAATGTTGGTGGAGAAAGAGTTTTAAATTGTTGTAGGTCCAAAACATTAAAAGCTTCATAAACACTAAACTTATACTTTTTATTAAAAAGGACTTGATTAGTTTGGTCTATGTTTGTTGTTTTCTTGTGTTTGAAAACTTCATTTTAGTCTGTTCTCAGCAACAAAAGTGTAATTTGTGTAAGTGTCCTTTTAAAAGATGGTCCATCAACCCTTTGGACCCAAAAGACTGATCCAAGTTCTGAAACATCATCCAGCTGTCACTACAACAGATTGAAGATTTGATAAAGTTGATCAAATCGTATGTAGATGATACCTCGTTATAATCATTTTAAAATGTCCAGTTTCCCTCTTGATTATTTTATCAACTGCAACATTTAGACAAGTTTTATGAATTATTATCCAAAAGTCTCCTCTCTGGTAGAAATCAGTAAAGGTTTTTGGTGCTTTGTACCATGAAGTGAAAATTAAACTAAAGGTTTGTCCTCATTTTGAGAAGATTGTTTTTCATCTGTTTTGATGTTAAACCTAAACATTATATAAAAAAAAGATTAACAAGTAATTTGTAGAAAGTCTGCAAAATGATACCATTATAAAACTGCAACAGTTGTGGGCCACACAAAATCACTCCAGGGGCCGCAAATGGCCCTCGGGCCACACTTTGGACAATCAAGTGAGTTATACCACTGAGGTGCTCAGAAAGTAAAAGTTTTCTCACAGCATGTCACACTGTTACAACTATGTGTAAAACAGTGCATGAATCTTACAGTTTTACAGGACAGTATTTTGGTCCAATTCATTTATATTAACCTACAAACACGCTGCACTGTGCTGAACAGAAAAGATGATGAAGCAGCTGAAAATATTAAATAAGACAAAACCTTTTTGAGATGATCTTATTTAGCTCTGATGCTGTGAAAAAAATGTAATGCTGCAGCTAACAAAAAAACTATTTTATTTAATCCATTGAATGTCAAAGTTTGAAGCAAAGCTCTTGCATTATCTGCGATGTACATCTAATAATTGTGTTCCGAGTTTCATTCAAACCTGTCAAGTGATTTAGGATATTTTGCTAACAGACAAATAATGTGCACACACACGGAGACCAATGTATAATCATCACCCAGCTTTTACTGCAGCAGGTGGTACTCACACCAAATGAAGCTTTTATAAGAAGTGATCACGTTTGTTGTCTTTTTATTCATTTCATCATTTTTCATTGTTCCCATGTGTTGCAGCTAATGAGTGTTGTAGGAAAAAACATGAAGCATAAAAGTCAAGTGGAAGCCAATGAAGCCGTCACTTTTTCCCATTTAGAAATATGTTTCCAGCTCTAATAGACATACTGCTGTTACGAAGTGCAAAGCTTTCAGAAAGTGAGAGCAACACTTTCAGGCTACATCAACAAGAAGGTTGGAAAACATTTAAATAGCATGTGATCAAAAATGTGTGCATGTAAAGTTCAACCAAAGAAGCATTTGAATTAGGGGAGCACCGATTACAGTTTTCTGGCTGATCACCGATTTCTAAAAAGTCTGACCTGCTGATTTCGTTCTATAAGCAACACTGTCCGGTGTTATAAAGTCACAGTGCACCTACAATTTTCCAGTCTTGTTTTATTGAAAAACACACCCTTGAACAATATCTTAGAAACATTACAAACTGGTTTTAACTGGCCATGAGGTAGCACTCTGAAATATAAATGAAGTTCAGACAACTGTTGTTAAAACTAAAAGAATCTGTAAAATCTGTTTCTCATGCAAATATTGGCCAATTCCCGATTTCCCAAAATTAATTAAATCGGGGCCGATAAATTGAACGGTGCACCCCTGGTTTGAATGTTACTTGTAAACAGTCAGGGTTAACTGTAACATAAAGAAGTGATTCCCTGAAAAATAACGGGTAACCTGACCATCTCAGACTGGTCGTGTCCGACGTGCCTACGAGCAGCACCGACTCTGCAGGTTGTCAGTAGCGCTGCGTGACGAGACTGTGGAGGCTCGGCTTTGACAGGAGAGACGATAACCGACACTCCTGAGTCACCACAGCTTACACAGGTTTTAAAACACGAAGCACCTGTTGCAGCGATTAAC